TGTCTATTATCCGGATTCTTGGGAGATCAGATGAGAATGACTCTGCCGTTGCGGTGCACAGCGTAGTTGACAATCACGTCGTTAAATGGGATGTGAACAGCTTGCCTAAATGCAAGATTTTAACAGTAGTCACTGTGGAGCGAATGAAATGCAAGATTAAAAGACATGAAGAAACTTAGAAACTGCGTCGTGGCTTCCTTTTACATAATTAGATTGTCACTATGGTGTATATAATTTTGACTCACATCTGGCATTACATACTCCACATCATGCCGTTTCATCCTTATGCAAATATGAAAGATGCCCTGCAAAATGAAGTTTTCAAGAAGCGGGAGGAGGACAGCTACATCTAGTTTGATCCTATCTACTGTTTGCGCGCCACTTTGGTGCAGAATTGTTGCTTACCGTTCTGCTGGTGCAACAGTTGCTCATTCTTTGAATCCGCACTAAAATATTTATGTAATTAAATTAAAGATTAAGTCTTTAATAAATTGTGAACAAGTACCTGATTTCCATTAAAAAGCACTTATTCCATTTTTTGAAGAGCATCTGCTTTGAGAAAACTATTGTAGTCTGTTTAAGAAATAATCTTGAAACACACCTGTTTCTTTCTCTCTCTTTCTTTATTTCTCTCTCTCTTTCTTTCTTTCTCTCTCTCTCTCTCTTGAAAACTAGTAATCTGGATAGAGCGCTACTGATCGACTGATCGACTTAAAGATGATCTGTTCTTCATGCATATTTGACCTGTAACTAAGTACATATGTTAAGTAAACCGTATTGCATTGGACGTACAATATTTAATATTTTTATATAATTATTTTTTTGGGCACAAAAATGCACATTAATGTTTTGCACTTGTGATGTATGCAAAGTTGTCTGCCATATCGGTATTTTTCATCGTTTCCGATCGATATGTAAAAAAGTCATTCTTGCCGTGTTGTTTACTTAAGCCAGAATTCTTGTCAACTCATACGGCATTGGGACGATTTACTTCCAATCCTTGATTTAAGCGCGTAGCAAGGTACTTTATATTTATGATGCTGTGTAATACCGTATGTACGTCTGTTTTGATATGAAATTATGAAAAGTATTTTAGAGCACTGCGAATTCCAAACTGTTGTACAACTTCGTCTTTTGCACTCGACTAGTAAAAGACAGAAGCTGTGTGAATTCTGTGATCCTCGTGTTGATTATCGGTTATCCACCTTCGATTACTGGTCGATAGGAATTTTTCGACGACGATGTAAATCTTGCTCAAGTGGAAATTAAAGCTTTGGAAGAAGCCTTTAGCAAGATGAACAAACGGTGTTTGCGAGATTCGAAATCTGTCATTAGTTTTATCTTTGTTTTATTTTGTTTGTTTTTAAATTTTCATGCAATCTATTTCTATCATCAGGAAATGAATGCGGGCGGTTGTGATTACCCGGGCATTGCAACCACTTTTGATCTGTGTTTCTTTCTTATTACCGGTCGCGACACCTTTCGTCGACGGTCGTACGTTCTCGAATTGTAAAAGTGTTGACGATGCTTGTGCTAACAAGCTAATTGTTTTATTTTTTATTGTTATTTATTTGTTTCTCTAAATTAGCTATTCCCGCTCATTCATAAACTTGAAAATGTTATATGCTCGTTTACGCGATCAGATTATTTTTACTTCAGTGCCTTTTATGAATTACTGCTGTTACTTAATATATTTGCACTTTATCTTACTGGCAGTATTGCTATGTTTTCGTTTTGGTTACAATGAACAGTGATCTGATTTATTGTTTTGAATATGCCAGGATGAATTTTTAATGAAGTGAAATAAAGCGGATTGTCAGATTTGCTTTGGTGACACTGTTGTTTACTCCGGATAATATCTATGATTGATTGATGATCATCTACTTCTGCTGTTGTGTTTCACCGTCTTCAACGGTTAACTTGTTTCTGTAGTAGATGGTCGCTGCCGCCTGCGAGAGTCACCTGTTCGTCCGCTGCAAGGCAGTTGGCCTGGTGACCAGCGCAGTCCCGTTTGCGTTAAGTTTCCTGAAAACCTCCAGGGCAGTGATGGTTTACTGCGCGGTCGAAAACATCGTGTATAAGTACACGTGTTCGAACATGGCGCTGATTGCCGTCAGCGACCCGTTTTCTCAGGACATCCGTCGACTCGCTGTCGATGACCGCTTCGTGTACGTCGCCTACGGCCACAACGTTGCTGTACAGCGCCTGAACGGGCCTTCGAAGTGTGTCTTTTCCAGTCATGCAGCTGATGTCAACTTTCTACTACCGTTCGGCAGTCATCTGCTTTCCGTTGACTCCGAGAGCCATGTAAGCGGGGGCGGGTAACGTCTTCTTTGTTTTCAAAACGATTTACAAAACTGGCTATCTGGTAAGCAGAGCAAGTGTTCGTTCCCTGCCTAGCCACGTAATTATTCTTACTTCTCGTCTATTCATCACACTGAACAATAGATCACTTCTGTGGTGATATGCTGAACAACTGCCTGAAAACAATTCCACGATATTGTAGTTGTTTAAAGGTTCGCGACCTATGGCTTGGGGGCTTTCTGTATGCGATTCATACATTCTCTGGTTATTCACTGATTAATTAAGTATTGAACTTTTTATCCAATAGTTTCTTTGAGAATATCTAATCATCTTTCTTGATAATATATACGCATTCTTCCTTCTGTGTTTGCCTGTCAAGATTTATGCCACGTGGTTGTCAATTCATTTTGATATTCCTATCGTCTAAGACTGTATATAGCCAGTTTTTTACATTGATGAACACGGACGGAGTCTGCTGGTCGTTTCGATCCTAGGCACAGAGTCATTTCCTGTGGCCGTGCAGTAGAGATTTTTCTAACTCTTATAACCTAGCTGGTTTCGTATGATTTTTGGCTGAATGTTTTGAATACTAGTTTTCTTCAATATTCAGTTTCGTTATGCCAGTTAAATCCTTGTTGTTTGTTGCCTTAACTTTCTCGAGATACTTTGCTCTCACTTTCAGCAACAGGGAGAAAATTGTTTTAATGGACAAACCACTACACAATGCGTTCTGTCTTGTCTTACAGGACGGCTTAATGCCGGTTCTTATTTTCTGTCTGAGTTTTCGTATTGCTTTCTTCGCGTTGTTTTTCTGTAGGTGAAGTTTCGAGCATCTGTTGCAGGCAGCAGTAAGAGTCCGCTTAAGCAGACAGAATAGACGGTTCCTCTGCAGTTTATGCCAAGTTCCTAGATTCCTACTTCCTCTTACCTACTACATACTCGTATGTCAAAATTTTCCTTTTTTTGATGTGACCTTGCAAGAATTCATCACTTTTCGACTTCCAGCATCAAGCTCTTATCCACAAAATAATCCGCTAGTCTTAGTAATTAAAGGGGGACACATAACATTGTTAATCTATCGAGAGCGAGTTTTTTATGGCGGGAAGAGAGAAATATGAAGTCAAGAAGTGATGGAAGAAAATGCTCAATGCAAGTAGTTAGATCTTTGTATCTCCAGTATCTATACATTCAACTTGTGAAACGAAAGCGACTGGGGTTGCACGGAAAACAGTAATGCAGATATATTCTATGGCCTTAATTTGTCATGTTTTGTATTACTAACTACTGGCTAAGTCAGCGCAAACTGTGATTCAAAACATAAGCCGGTTAATCATTGTCTAATGAATAAACATTCATTGTAATTTTATATTTATCAAAATTAAATGTAATATTTCGTGTGATGTAGAAATATGCAGGTGTTATAGGTGTTTGCTCAGGTTGTAGAATAATGTCGATTCTACGTCACAAGATTACCGAATTTGTGTTGCTACTTAAGGTTATAACAAGTATGTCTTACTGTTGCAATTCGCCTGGGCCCACCTTATAGCTTAGTGAAAATTAGCACGAGAGGTAATCAGTAAATTTGCGAAGACTGATATCGTTAATCTGCATGTCATTCCGTGGAAAGTTTAATTTCTCTAACATCTCGTGCAGAGCATGAAAGATGATGTTACATAATACTTTATCCTTGTTTTTGGTTACCCTTAGATGAATATTTAAGCAGTTAGTAGCTCCATGATATTTTTTAATTTCTTTTGCATTTTAATATGAACCACCATTTTGCCTTGTGTTTCGACAAGTTTTGATGTGACTTTAATGCAGCGATACATGATGTTTTATGTACTTGTTTTAATTTGTTTTCAATTGCAATTATTGTCTTGTATCCTTTATAACAAAAATAGTTTTCATGATTTTATTCACGTAAATTTGCTTGCTAACAGTTCTTTCTGTGAGCTGAATCAGTCAGTAATATCGCTTATAGCCTCCTCTGAGCAGTAGAATGTATAGCCGACAGAAGGATAGCCGTGGGAGTAGTTTGGCTATTGCAAGTCCGTGTTTTCATGGATCTTGACAGATCGCACGATTAGCAGGCTTCTTGTCACTGATTTAGAATCTGAGGTTTGACCGATGACCAGTTTTTTATATAGTAATGCTACGTTTCTCTTATGTACCTTGAAGCAAAGAATTAGCCTCATTTTGCTAGACCCAGTGCGACAATATACTGTGGTATGTTTCATTAGCGCAGCCGTGACGGAGCTTGCGAGACTTATTCCCATGACTGTACGTTCTTTGAACGATAAGATTAATTTTAACGCATTTAATGGCTGATCTCGTATACATGCACGTGCAAAGCAGAATGAAACTGATATATTGCATTTGCTTTTTCTGTTACGGTGTGCACTTCATATGATATGGCTGCATGTATGCTTTATAGGCTAAGGTGTGGGATGTCGAAGCAGAAGAAGAATACACTGAGATCATCTTCGACCGTACGTCGTTCGATGTTACCGCCGTATGTCATCCGCTGACTTACATCAACAAGGTGCTGTTTGGATCGAGCCAAGGGTCGCTAAGGTTGATTAATCTTAAGTCCAATAAATTGGTGTACGAATTTGCCGGCTGGTCAAATGCCATCACCGTTTTGGAGCAATCACCGGCTTTGGACGTAATGGCCATTGGCTTGGCGGACGGCCGCATTTTTCTGCATAACCTAAAATTCGACGAGTCGTTGTTCTCGTTTAATCAAGACTGTGGTCCGGTGACGGCGATCGCATTTCGGACCGACGATTCGTCGTCGATGGTTACTGGCACGACTATTGGCCGGCTTACGGTATGGGACCTGGAAAAGCGTTCCTTGGATTCTATGCTCGATATGGCTCACGACGGCGCTGTTCTTGGTCTAACTGCCCTGCCGCGCGAACCCATCGTCCTGTCATCTGGCCAGGACAACGCATTAAAGGTACGGCTTCGCGTGTTATATTCTGAAACCATGGCTCATGAGATTTGTCATATCGCGTTTTAAACTTGCACGGAGTTACTTCAGTCGTATGTTCTTGTTTTCTGACTGTGCTTTTGCGTTTTAACTTAATGCTTGGGTTGTTTGTGCGATGGCTGCCCTGTTTGATCGGTTGGCATCGTTTTCGACTACATCCGTAAAATTTCGGGAGTGATCTGCAATCCGTCTCGATGTTTTCTAGCTTTACACAGCCTGGAGACTGGGAAGCGATGCCACGTGTACAATCGAATTCTTCCCTGTTATTTACATTTAATTGCCTTATATAAACGCTCCTTTTCTGTATTGCTTAATCGTACATCACTGGAGGAATGAGACGAATGTTAGTTGTGTTTTTTACTTGGGGACGCTTAATCAGATAGAATTTTATTTTATTGTAGATGTGGGCATTTGATTCGTCGGCGGGCGCTCCTCGGTTGTTGATGTGCAGACAGGGTCACAGTCGACCGCCGAATTTCATCCGCTTCCACGCCGCCTCAGACTTCGTCCTGTCCGGCGGCGACGACTCGTCACTAAAGCTGTTCGACGTGGCTGAAGAGAAGCACAGCAAGAACTTAGGCGTAGCAAGTTTCTTGCGTCGTAGCGTAGCCAAGAAACATAAGTTAGACTTGGACAAAAACACGTTACCCGGCATCATCTGTTTGGACTCGAACTCGACCCGCGAGAGCAGCTGGGACAACGTCGTTTGTTGCCACCGCAACAGTGCTATCGTCACGTCATGGACGACCAGGAGGTGTCGTCTCGGTTCACACAGATTCCGCCACCCTCGCTTCAAGACCGACATCGATCTGCGCTCGGCGTGTGCCCTTTGCTGCCGGGTGTCGCCCTGTGGAAACTTCGTTTTCATCGGCTACAGTACCGGCCACGTGGATATCTTCAACATACAGT